TGGGACAGGTAAGCGGCAGCCAGTGCTAACTGGAAATAAACGTAAACCTTCGAAATGTCATTTCTTCTCACCCCCTCCCCCTCCCTCGCATAGCCCCAGACATAAACATAAATCACAGATCAGAACAACAGCATCATTCTATGAAAGAAAGCATCACAATTGAACGAAATCTTTGTACTAACCAGATATGCGATGGCAAAGTCAGATTGAATAGCCTTGTTCCAAATCCAAGTGCAACAATGGCCAGTAGAAGAAGCAGTCTCCTAAGCCATCGGGGCAGCTTCTTTTCCACCTTACTCGCAGCGCCCCCAATAACCGACAGCCACTTTGGAGAGGGAGATTTCTCCTGCTCTTTCTTGTTCGGTAATTTAGCTCTAAGAACTGCTCTCTTAAGTTCAGCTTTAGTTCTGCCTGTACTCTTGCCAGCCTTTCTATTGCGGATATCTCCATTATGGTGTTTAACCCCAGCATCTTGTAATGTTTTACCTTCTTTGTCTATCTCACTTTCATCGGCTTCGTTTTCGCGTAAATCATCGTCCTTTTTAACATCTCCGTTTTGATAGCTATTGTCCTCTTCGGAGCTTACTTCGGATCCCATTATTATGAAGGAAAGGTTGGCCTTTAAGCCCGCGAGCTAACAAATAAAATTTTACTTTGCAGAGCGTGGTTTACGCAGTCCACGTCGCGCTTTTATTGCATATTTAAATTCAAAATTACACGTGAACATTGGTTCTGTTGGGTAAATGTATCAAAACATTCCACTCGAATGTCTATTGTCTTGCTTGGTAACCGAAACAAACCCGACTGTTGCACGCGCGTGTTTACTATCTTTTAATACAATTTTAATGAAGGAGCTACGTTACCATGGTTACCATGGTGAGTGAATGGGAAATTTTCAGTAGCAACAGGAGTAATGCAAGGTTTATCCCCCTCAGGTTTACAGGTTAATGTTTATAGCTTTGGTTATGTAAAACTGTATATAGGAAGTAAGTATTTCTTATAGGGTGCAAATGTAATACGAATGAGCCTCGTGGCTCATCACGCCAGCGCTTACCTTCGGTTTCTGTAGCATGTAGCGACCAGGAGTTTTTCAACTATTTCCTGGATGGGATGCTAGTCCGTTGCAGGGTTATTGAACAAGCGTGAGGTCCGTATTGAAGAAATATTGGTCAAGTTCTTTTTCTTTTCTTTTTTTTGGCATGTTTATGGACCAAGCCGCAGGAGAAGTCCATAAACCTGCGAAAATAAAACAAAAAGACGAGACTAATATTCCGGCTCCAATACGAACCGAACAAGCTAGTTCAATAAAGTCTTTATCCAAGAGATTATGGTCCCTTGATTTATTGTAATGACTCTTTTTCATCTTTTCAAAATAAAACACTGCGATGAAATGGAAAATCATTAAAACCATTTTGTTTTAAAATAAATGTCGAGTGGATAAAATAGGTTCGAATTTAAATGTAAACTAAGATTTCCTTAGGGACATGGATTTAAAGACGGCAATGTTAAAAAATGCTAACATTGTTAAAAATATATAATGTTATGAAAAGAGAATGAACTATACACCAAGGTTCACAAAGTCTTATTTAAATCACTTGCTGACACTCTGTCCGCAAGGCTCAAGGGCTTGCCCACTTGTATGGGTTACTCAAGACAAGTGCAAACTAGCCTGTACTGTCTATGAGATCAATCTTATCCGCGACTAGAACATACAACTGTATAGCCGGTTGCAAAATGGCTTGAAGCGAAACCAAAGCCTCTGTCGACCAATGCTTACACTATTAGCGATTTAGGATCACCCAACTAGTGGACTAATCCAAATCCTGCATTTTAATTGACTATGCTACCAGAGGACTATTAGTAATAGTCCTCGACTAGCGAAATTGGCGTAATCGAGCGTGACGCGTTTTCTTTCGTTTTATTTCCAAATAGCTTCTTCAACTTGCATTTTCTAACTTTATTATTGCCTTTTCTAACCAAAGATCAACTTACGGATCTGCTCATGCAAGCTTGCAACTACAAACTAACTTTTCAACTTAATGATACGCTTTACGAACAAGTCGAAGGGGCGGCGATAGTTTTTGGGCCATTACTAACTAAAACGCGCCTTCCAAATGTATATATTATTGAAGTAGCGCGAGGTTTATTCTGGAGAAATATTGGTCAAGCTCTTTTGTTTTGCGTCTCGGTCCCTAAACCTGCAAAGAGAAAAAAAAAAGAAAAAGACCAATACTCTCCAATACGGACTAAACAAGTAAAGTACTTATTAAAATGGTACGTCGTAATATTTTAAAATAAAACACTGCGATAAAAAGACTTTAATTGAAATAATTTTGCTTCAAAATTTAATGACGACGTTTCGGCGTTTGCTTAACGTCATTATCAAGTCTCCTGAGTAAAGAAAATGAGTTAGACATTAAATACAAACTAAGAGTTCCTATGAGACACGAATCAAAGGAAACAATGTTTAACAAAACGAGTGGAGACCTTATTGCCCGAAAAAAAATTACACAATGCGCGAAAGTGCGAGTGTTGTTCAAACGCACTCAAATCGCAGTAAAAACAAAAACATTGGCAATTCTCACGTCTAATGAAACTGTTATCATTCCAAAAGTAGTTATTTTGAAACCTCGCATACCCTATGACGTCGATTGACAACCTAATAAAATCCGGAAACTTTTACAAAAGAAACAGTTAATTCTCTCTCGTACGAAAAGTTCAAGAACATTAAAACGGCTCTTTATGGAGCCATTCAAAACGGCTCTTTTCAGAGCCACCACAAAAACAAAAGTCTTGGTCTTCGCTTGCTTTGATTCTTTTGCCATTACTTTGTTGATTGAAATAAAATCCATCTCGTGGATTTCCACGATGCACATTTAAACGTTATATGATTTTTCCAAAACAGAATGCCTGTATCCTTGAGGAGAGGAGAAAGTGCTGCCTTTGTAATGACATCTACAAATGGTTAGATTTTCTAGTCTTCTCGGATGAGGACGATAAACCGTAGGCCCCGTCTCACAACTCTTCATAATTAATTCTGTGGGACGTAAAAGAACACACACACTGATCGAGAAGAGTAGGGGACGTAGTTCTCAGTGTGGGGCCTATCTCTCATCTGATGGTTAAATGCTCGGAGATATTAGCTGCATAAGCTACTCTGAAATCCTTGGGTAAATAAAGTAATGTAATGTATGTATGTATTTGACCTTAACTCCAAGGCATACGTCAGAGAAAGTAGCCTACAAGCCTGAGCTTGACTACCTTTTAGAATGTTTTCTCCCGAGTACTTTTCCCGAATCATCAGCGTTTTGCCCGAAAATTTCAAAACTTTTTGAGACTTGGGGGGCTGCAGCCAGGGGGCTTTTGGCGGGATATTTAGGTAATTCTAGGTCGGTCAGTCTTTCGTGTTCGTCTACTTTTTTAAGGGTAGCCGTTTTATTGGTTTTTCGTATCGGACGAAGCGCAGGTTCTAATTGTCAGAACCAATAAATTGTCATTTGCAAGGACAACGATTATTTTATTACACGGTATACCTCTTACTGACGCATCCTCAATTAAGTATTCACATTGAATGTCTCTTGTTAGTGTGAACCAGTGTAGTCAGAATGAAGGAGGCTCGTTTTTCTCTTATGGTTTTTCTTCCATAGGCCACATGAACCCAAGGGGAGAACCCATCACCACGCCTTCCACTTGTTCAGAAAACGCACTATTAAGTTGAAAAAGTTGGATTGTAGTTGCATTGCAAGCTTGAGCAGATCTGTAGTTGGCCTTTGATGTGGTTTAGATTAATTATAGGCTTTGTTGAACCAGTTTTCATTGAAAGCTTTCTCAACCACAACCTTGATCCCAGGTTCTCTCTCCCTTACCCCTCTTTTGACAAGGGAGAAAGCCTGGGATGAGGGAGGCAAAGGGGTCGTCCCATGTGCTCGCAGTGTGTTCATCGCTCTGTTAGTGTGGCGTTGTGGATTGAATTATAGTTTAGTGGTTCTCGGC